TTTTTAATAATTGGCTTTATTTGAATAATTACAATCTATACAGTATGTACAATAAGCTGAATAAGCAATATTAATAATTTACAGACAGTTGGCAATGCACAAGAATTAAGAGGAAATCACACATTCGAGAYACCTATTAATATTATTAAGTTATTATTCTTAAGTTTTTAAGTCACGGCACCAATTCCTTTTGAGTTTACGATACTACAAAAATATACACAGTGGACATTTAATAAAATAAAATTGTGGTTTTAACAACGTTTATCGTTTACACAAAACTATTAATACCATGTGATATCCTCCGATATAGAAACASGACTGTACGTCGTATTGATTTTATATTTATATCGTACCAATATTATGATAATTTATTTCTTATGTTCAGGATCGATTAAAATAAATAAATGTTGCGATTTTTACATAATAATAMTGAAATTCGAGGTCTCATCATCTATACCTACCTATTATTGTAACCTATAACGGTTTCGGCAATAACCGCACTATTATACCYATAAATTTGTGATTTGATCATATAATATTCTCATCTTATTATTTTGTATTGTTTCGAGCTATGTGATGCAGCTACCTACAGAATTCAGTATATTACATCGACAAATCAACTTCTGTGCAACGATTTGGACGTGAAAATATTAAACAGTACCTAATGAAATTTGTATATAGTGAATCATTTAAATATGGGCCCATAAGTTGAATGTGGAAGGATTAAACGAATATAATAAAATTATATATTATGTTTTAATATACTTCTACAGATACCATTATAGTTATCAACAGAGGGGAAATAATAATGGATATAGCATATAGAAATTATTGAAAATACGATTTAACAGAAAATAACGATAACGGCGATTTGGAAATAAAAGCACTTAGGTACAGCTAGGYTAATGAGGTATACTTAATATTTTAAGATACACTAAAAAAATATTCGTTGTTTTTTGGGCTATATATAAAGTTTATGTTAAATGTTCTTCACTTTTAGTAAAAAAAAAAACGTTGGCTGAAAAAGAATTATTGGTAAATCTGTGAAACAATCAAAAATTTGAAAAATTGCCAATCGTTTGAAAAAGTAACGTAGCCTATAGCTATTACACAATACCCAATCAGTATATGTATACATCAATACAAGAATTAAAAGAAAYAATTGGTTACACAAATAAACTTAATATTCCT